CCAGTGCTCTAGGGCAGGACTCCTTTGTTATTCTTCTCCTGCCATCAATGGCCAAGCCGGTCTCACACTTCATCTATGTCTTTGGGGACCTCTGACCTCCATATGAACTGTTTCTTCCATGATGAAGATCAGCCATGGAGTATATCTGAGGTGTATATCAGGGTGTGCTTCTTCCCCACATGAGACCTGGGATGTCCAGCAGCATTCATCTAGAAGACATTTCCTGCACTCAAGGCACTAATACACCTCCAGGGTTGTGTGGGATCCCTGATGTACAGGAAGACAGGACTGCAGTGAGGAACATTTCCCCTCACTCGGGACAGGAATACGGCTTCTCCCCTCTGTGAGATCTCTGATGTGTGTAAAGACCGGACTTCTGTGAAAAACATTTCCCACACTCAGGACAGGAATACGGCTTCTCTCCCATGTGAGATTTCTGATGGCTATTAAGATGAGACTTCTGTAAAAAACATTTTCCGCACTCAGAACAGGAATACGGCTTCTCCCTTGTGTGAGATCTCTGATGTATGGAAAGATAGGACTTGTCTGAAAAACACTTCCCGCATTCAGGACAGGAAAACGGCTTTTCACCCGTATGAGATCTTTGATGTTTGTGAAGAATGGACTTTTCTGAAAAACATTTCCCGCACTCAGGACAGGAATATGGCTTTTCTCTCCCGTGTGAGATCTCTGATGTGTGTGAAGATTGCCCTTCTGTGAAAAACATTTCCCGCACTCAGGACAAGAATACGGCTTTTCCCCTGTATGAGATCTCTGATGTGTGTGAAGACGGGACTTCGCTGAAAAACATTTCCCGCACTCAGGACAGGAATACATCTTCTCTCCCGTGTGAGATCTCTGATGTGTGTGAAGACTGGACTTCACTGAAAAGTATTTCCCACACTCAGGACAGGAATATATGGCTTTTCCCCCGTGTGAGATCTCTGATGTGTGTAAAGACTGGACTTATCTGAAAAAAATTTCTGGCAATCAGGACAGGAATATGGCTTCTCCCCCGTGTGAGATCTCTGATGTCTGTAAAGACTGGACTTATCTGATAAACATTTCCCGCACTCCAAACAGGAATACTTCTCCCCCCTGTGAGATTTCTGATGTCTGTAAAGACTGGGACTTATCTGATAAACATTTCCCGCACTCCGAACAGGAATACTTCTCCCCCGTGTGAGATCTCTGATGTCTGTAAAGACTGGACTTATCTGATAAACATTTCCCGCACTGAGAACAAGAATACGGCTTCTCCCCCGTATGAAGATCTCTGATGTGTATAAAGACTGGAGTTCCGTGAAAAACATTTCCCGCACTCAGGGCAGGAATACGGCTTCTCCCCCGTGTGAGATCTCTGATGTGTGTAAAGACTGGATTTCACTGAAAAATATTTCCCGCACTCAGGACAGGAATACGGCTTCTCTCCTGTGTGAGATCTTTTATGCACATTAAGATTGTTTTTAGAAATGAAACTTTTCCCCGCACTCAGTACAGGAGAAGCTCTTCCCTGTTGGAAGGCCGGCCCAGTCCCGCACAGTCTGAGGTTCCTCAGGATACGAGGAATCCGATGGTCCATCTACACTGGGTGGTGCCGGATGGACATTGGAGGGAGCCGGGTTTTCTCTTGAACTATACTGTGTGATGTCCTCATCTTCTACTTTCCAGTCTGGAGACAAAGTGAGACAATCCTCGGAGGTTTTCCTCATCTCCCGGCCATGGACTAAAATACAAAGACAAAGAGGATTACTAGACAGGAGCTGATTGGTTCCCCCAAACCAGGACTCCACCCACATCAGGCAGCTTGGTCTCTGAGGAGCTTACAATTCCACCATCAAGGGAACTAGGAAATGGCTCCTCTGATCTCCTACCAGGTCATTTCTTTATTCAAGGACCTTAGTCAGAGAGTGAGGAAACAACCAGAACTGTCTTTTATAGGAGGGACAGTGATGAGGGGATTATAGGACGAGGGTCCCCACCCCCTCTATCACTCATCACCATCTTCCCAACACAAGAAGTACTGCACTCCCTTATTTAGTCCATGATTTAGTCATAAAGCCCCACCAGAGGTCAGAGAGTGAGGATGGGGGGAGAACAGCCAAGATGAAGACTGGACTAATCCTGAAGACCACCATCATTGGGGTATTGACTCCTCCCTCATTATCACTTTCTGTTTAAGGGTCCAAAGTTGGAGGATGTTATCATATTATTATCACCATGTAAAAGTCTGTGCTCCAATCACATCATCCGATATAAAATGTCCAGCTGGTATTTAATGGGTGTAACAAAATAGGATCCATATTATGTGTATATATATAGCAGTGGTGGGAGGGGGGAGAGCAGAAGTCAGGAGTATGTAATGTACACTATATAGTGTAAACATCATGCCTCATAATCTTGAAATTCAGTCATCAATTGTAATCTAAATGTTTACTAGAGAGGTCCCACACCGCTGCCTCCCATCTCCTGAGACTGCACTCAGTGACTTGGGTCTGAGACTATACAGACATATCCCTCCACCCGGCACAGGAGACAAATACTGGGAGAATTGCTATATCACCACCATGAGGAATAAGATCAAAAGCACACACCCCGGGTGCCTAAGTCTAGTAATGTCTATGCTGAAATGAACATTTTGCTGCCAGATGATCCCCAAAATCTCTATAAATCCAGTCTAGATACATAAATTGTGTCTGCAGCACAGAGAAGGAAGATTATCCGAGAGAAATCCAGGAATACAGGACGGGGAACACAGCTCAGGAAAGTGACCAGGGGATTACAGGCTGATATCACCCAGTCCCCGCCCTACTCTGGACCAATCAGTGAGCAGTATGGGTGGAGGAATGGATTTAGTGTTCATGACCCACCTGTGCTGATCTCTGTAGGAGTGTCCTCCTCTATAAATGTCCCCGTTATTCCATCCTCCTCCATAGACTGCTGATCATCCCTCACATACGACTCTTCTTCTTCTGCTTTCACCTCAAATTCTATATCGATTGGATCTCCACTCTAAATCAAGGAAATGAGAGAAAATATCATCTGTAAAATGTAAGATTTATGATTGTGACATCACACACAAAATCCACACATTGTCTCCCTTCACAGAAGCAGATCACATGTGATATGTCGGTACATTTCCCCTAAATACCGCATGCCATCCTGAAACTGTCCATTTCCTATCCCGTGTTGCGGTATTGACCACAAACACTGAACACGCTCAGTAAATACCGCATGAACAGGCGTTACATTCACAGAAGGAAATAAAGAATGAAATGCATGCGGTCATTAGTTAGTGGTGGAGACATGCGGCATTCAGGAAATGTGTACTGCTTGGAAAAGAGTGGGCGGCCGCTGGCATCCTTAACAACCAGTAAACAACATGGTTGTTAGGGAGCGAGCGGCCGCCTCTCGTCCTAACCAACCGATAAATCTAAAAAAAAGAATCACCGGCAATGAAAAATTAAGAAAATGGCGCGGGGTCCCCCCCTTTGGGGGGTCTAGTATGGATTTTGAGGGGGACACTTGCCAAAATGACAGAAATACATACCCGCATGCATACATACCCGATCTCTATTTGAGCATGCAGCCCGGAAGGTCAGTAAACGGGGGATAAGCAAGCGACCCCCCCTCCTGAAGCATACCAGGCCACATGCCCTTAACATGGAGTGGATGCTCTGCGGCAGGGGTGCTTTGCTCCCCCAGAGCACATTGTCCATGTTGATGAGGACAAGGGACTCTTCCCGACAACCCAGGCTAGTGCCTGTGGGGGTTTAAAGGCAGAGGACTTACAAAATTTAAGAAGGAGGCCCTCAGATCCCTCACCCCATGTGAATGAGTATGGGGTACATGGTACCCCTAACTATTCACCCCAAAAAAGTATTCTGTTAAAAAGACAGCAGGCAGGTGTAGATCCATCATCAATTACGATGCTCGCTGTCATCACTGACTCGGAAAGGAAAGCTCCGCTCCCAATGAAGACTCCCCTCTGTCTGACAGCTCTGCTGCCTCCTGACACTAAATATACTAAGGGATGGTGCCACTCGGTGACATCACTGACCAGGGCATGTTGTATTGGTGATGTCACAAGAAGGCAAGGCCACCCAGTGACATCACAGAGTAGTAGCGCTTCTTAGTTTTTTCAGAAGTGGGAGGCGGCGGAGCTGTCAGACGGCAGGAGTGGAGCTTTGTTTTTTCTTCCAGTCAGCGATGACAGCGAGTATTGTGATTGGATCATCGATGGATCTACATCAGGGGGATATTTTTCTTTATTTTTGTTAAAAATTTCTTCCAGTGTTTTTTTACACTACACTGTTTGGTGAATGAATAGGGGTACTATGTACTCTATACTCATTCACATAGCAGGGGGGCTGGTATCTGGGGGCCTCCTTGTTAAAGGTGACCTCCAGATTCCAATAAGCCCCCCACAACGACTGCCCAGGGTTGTGAAGAAGGGACCCTTGTCACCATCGACATGGGGACAAGGTGATTTGGGGGGTCAGAGCGCCCCTGACCTGAAGCACCCACCACATGTTGAGATATGTGGCCTGGTATGGTTCAGGAGGAAGGAGAGCACTCACTAAGGGTCTGGTATGGATTTTGGAGGGGAACCCACGCTTTTTTTTTTATTATTTTTTAGCAACAGGGGTTTCCCTCAAAATCCATACCAGACCTGTCACAGCTGTCAGCGGGGAACTTGGTGGCTGTCCACTCCTTGCTTACTGGTTGCTGAGGACACTGGCGGCTGCCCTCACAACAAGCTATTTGCAAGTGTTGCTAAGGACACCAGTGGTAAATTACCCGCAGGCTTCACTACTAAAAAACAGCATGACTTCAGAAAATAGAACTTGGGGTATATTAGTAGTGTTTTAGTGAATGCCAAAAAAGTTTTTGAAAAATGCTGTGCAGCATCTTACTACATACTGGGATACGGGAAGATACCGCTTTGTGATTGGAGCCCATAGTCTCTACAAGTCCATGTTCTAGATTCTCCATCCCACCAACCTTGTAATAGTGAGGGATGGTGTGACCTTCCTGTGTGGAATCCCGGGAATACAGAGGACGGGGACATCTCTCTGGTGGGTTCCTGGTATTAGGTGGCTCCATCATATCCTTGTGTCCTTCTGAAAACTCCTCCATCACTCCATACTCCTCATCCTCCTCTTTATACTCTTCTTTAACATCAATATTATCATCCCCGAGGATTCCACTCTGAAAGATATAATAAAACATTCATTGTAACAAACATGCTGTGTATAAAATCACAACTACCAATAATTGTCATCATCTACCTGATGATGGTGAGGGATGGTGTGACCTTCCTGTGTGGAATCCCGGGAATACAGAGGATGGGAACATTTCTCTGGTGGGTTCCTGTAGCTGGATGACTCCACCATGGTGTCCTGGTACAGATCTTTGTGTTTTCTTAGAAGCTCTGACTCCTCCATCCCCCCATCCTCATCCTCCTCCTCTTTTATCTCTTCTTTAACCTCAACTTTAGAATCTCTCAGGTTTCCACTCTGAATATATAATAAAAATACATCAATGGTAACAATGCAGATAATGTACAGATCCTAATGATACTATCAGTGATTGTTCCTCATCTACCTGATGATGGTGAGGGATGGTGTGACCTTCCTGTGTGGAATCCCGGGAATACAGAGGACGGGGACATCTCTCTGGTGGGTTCCATGACTGGATCCATCTGTAGGAAACACACACACTGACTGAATCCATTGTTTCTATGTGTTTATCAGATGATGGGGGATCTAGGTGGATCCTCCGTACTGCTCTCTCCTTTACAATAAAGTCTCCTCTTACCCGGTGATGTGAGGGGCGGCTGATTGTCCATCATGACGTCCTTGTAGAGATCCTTGTGTCCTTCTAAATACTCCCACTCCTCCATGGAGAAATAGACAGTGACACCCTGACACCTTATAGGAACCTGACACACACAATGATACAGTCACCATCCAGACACATCCCTTGTCTGTTACTGGAGAATGTCCCAGAATTCCCGGCACCGCTCACCTCTCCTGTCAGCAGCTCAGTGATCTCTCTGGTGACTTCTAGAATCTTCTTCTTCTTTCTCTCTTCTATCAGGGAGGGAGGTGGAGGCAATGTGATGTCATATGATCTCCAGACTTCACAGGAGGAAAACTCTACATCTGAACACAAATAGTAACATCAAATGATATTCCCAGAATCCTCCTCACCTCTCCATTCAGGTCTCCATTTTATTAAAGCCCCACTTTAGGCTGAGGTATTAATTACACAGGGCCTCATAATCTATAGGTTAAAAGTTTGTCATAAGCAATTTTGTCATCAATACATATAATAAATGACAAACAGTCCCCCCCGACTTCTACATCACGACCAACAACGCCTCCATCAGTCCCACCCTGCAAGCCAAAGTTCTAGGTATCACTCTAGACTCCAATCTGTCTTTCCAGCCCCATGTCCAATCGCTGACAAATTCATGCAGACTCCACCTCCGCAACATCTCCAAGATACGACTGTTCCTAACTCCAGAAACTACAAAGCAACTCATCCACTCCCTCATCATATCACGAGTTGACTACTTCAACTCCCTCCTCACTGGCCTACCCCAACACAGGCTATCCCCGCTTCAGTCTATCCTGAATTCTGCGGCCAGACTCATCCACCTTACCAACCGCTCCGTAGCCTCCACCCCCGTCTGCCAATCCCTCCACTGGCTTCCCATTGCCCAACGCATAAATTTCAAAATATTAACATTGACATACAAAGCTGTTCATAACACTGCCCCAAACTACATCACTGACCTGATATCCATCTACCACCCAAAACACACTCTCCGCTCCTCACAAGACCTCCTACTCTACAGTTCTCTGGTCTCCTTCTCCCATGCCCGTCTCCAGGACTTCTCTAGCGCTTCCCCCATCCTCTGGAACTCACTACCCTAATCCATCAGACTGTTACCTAACCTCCTCACCTTTAGACGCACACTTAAACCCATCTCTTCAGAGAAGCCTACCCCGCCCTCACCTAATTGCCGATCTCCTCCACTCTTCCCACCACTCCATCCCCCACAGCTATTTCCTCCTGTACCACTCTCCCCTCCCTCCTAGATTGTAATCTCCAAGGAGCAGGGCCCTTGAACCCCTTGTGTATTGTATTGTTACTGTACTGTCTCCCACTATAATGTACAGCGCTGAGCTAACTATTGGCGCTATATAAATACTGTATAATAATAATGTCATAGGATTTTCTGACTCTGGATGGAGGGACATTGGGAGGAAGAGCTTTGAGGTTGGTGTGATGTCATAGGATTCTCTGACTCTGGGTGGACATTGGGAGGAGGATCTGTGAGGTCAGTGTGATGTCATAGGACGTATAGACTCTGGATGGTGGGACATTTGGATGGGGAGATTTGGGGGGGTCCTCTATATGCGGCTTCCATGCAAACCAAATCCTTGTTCCTGGGTGCGTCCTACCTCTCCTAAACTGAAGAGTGACCTTTACCATCCATAAATCTGTCCGGAATCTGTGGAAGTAAGCTGTCATGTGATCAGGTGACGTGCGGAGGAACGGAGTGTAAATAGCAGACAATTGTCTCCAGAGCCCCTAATGGTGGGGATGGATTTGGCGGCGTGCTGGTGCCAAGTTTCCTCCCCCCAGGGTCACTGCAGGTGTGGAGAAAAGCTGTGTAAGAGGATATGGAGGAGAGATGAGGAGGAGATCCAGGAATCAGGAGAAAGGTCAGGGCAAGCAACAGACGAGCGCATCCAAGAGACCAAGCCGGGGTCACTACACAGAAAATCAATCCAAGGAAACAACAGGCAGGACGAGGAATAGCAAGAAGGAGCTGAGAGACAAATGAGAATATTGCTCAGCCAATGGGAGATGATCTCAGCATGACTTCCATCATGAAGGAGATGAGGGGGAGGGGAGGAAGTCACTGAAGGTGACCATAGATCCATGGAAATTCAGCTGGTTCAGCAGGGATCGCTCACATTTCCATCCATGTGTGGCCACTGCCGGATAAAAGCCACTCCCCCAGCGGCTGCAGCCAATAGCTTCAGTGCTGATCTGTGTATTCTGAGAGCTGAGGAGTCCCCCCATTGTCAGAATACAAGAGTGCAGCGGGGAGGATTCCCCCATCCACCTCCAATGTGTGGATGGGGGAATCGCTTCATTTTTTATGCTCATCCCGCTGGCTGAACGATAAAACTGAACCATGTAGGCCAGCTTTGGGAGCAAATATATTATCATCAACTCCTCCCCTGAAGGGGTTAATCTACGTATTACCTCCTCTGCCGCCAGATCCAGGAATGTCTCCTCTCTGCTTCCTCATTCATAGAACTTCCTGTCTGTATCTGACATCACTTCCTGTTTGTATCTGACATCACTTCCTGTCTTCCATAGAGACTTCCTGTTTGGATAGAAGTGAGATCTGTGGTCGGAGGCGGAGTCTAGGAGGGAGACTGACAGAACCCGCAGCCGACTTGCAGGAGTGAGCGAGGAGGATCCGGTTCCTTTACCATCGGAGATGAGGAGAGTGTGAAGGATGTTTCTGACTCTGGGAGCTGAAAAGCTGGGAGTCCTATTGGTGTGGTGAGGGGGAAGCACTACTAGGGGGCGCCCTCACCATCCCGTGTACAAGAGGTGGAAGAAGGCGGGCTACACTACAGCCGACACAGTTTGGAGGGCGGAGCACTTTCACACCTCATCAACTTTTCACTGATTGGTGGATTTAAAATAAGTGGATTGAAGTAGATGCAAAGTGGAAGCGGTGGACTTGCAGAGAACACTATACTGAGCACACAATATTGTCTGTCTCCATGGATTTGCACAGGATTTGAGATGATTTCCTATAGCAGCAAATCTGATGAGATGAATGAAGTGGGTGTAAAGTGGAAGCAGTGGATGTGCAGAGAATAGGATTTGGAGCCCCGAGCTCTTTATCTCTGAATGTCTCCACATATTTGTAGTGTATTTGTGATGATTTCTGTGCACACACAATAGGACAGCGCTGTGACACATAATGCTCTTCTAGATGACAGGGAATCCTTCCCTTTGTTACAGCAGCAGTCCGCTAGAAGGTTTTTGTAGGTTTGGAGTTGTTACACATAGCGCGGGTTTTATCCATTTATAGTGATGACATCATTGCCCAAATCTGGGGGTCACCAGCCATTTCCACCCTTTACTCCCAGCTGGGGGGCTTTGTATCCATATACCAGATGTTCTACGGGGCTAAATCTGCAATCAATGTTACTGCAAAATCAAAGGGGCCAAAACCCCTCCCCCGAGCAGTCATATATTTCTGTCCCCTGTAACGGATGGCTTGGCCAACTCATACACTCTCACGGCTTCAACTACCACCTCTATGCCAACGACACACAAATCTATCTCTCAACCCCCCACCTCACCCCCTCGGTCTCCACCCGAATCACACACCTACTGAGCGACATATCAGACTGGATGTCACTCCACTTCCTTAAACTGAACCTCTCCAAAACCGAGTTCTTGTCTTCCCCCCAGCCCGGACACCACCCCCCATTGACTTCTCCATCACATCCAACAACGCCACCATCAAACCCGCCCTGCAGGCCAGAGTACTTGGTGTCATTCTGGACTCCAACCTATCCTTCCAGCCCCAAGTCCAATCTTTAACAAACTCGTGCAGACTCCACCTCCGCAACATCGCCAAAATCCGCACGTTCCTAACCCCAGAAACCACTAAACAGCTCATCCACTCCCTCATCATATCACGACTCGACTACTGCAACTCCCTCCTCACTGGCCTGCCTCGTCGCTGGCTATCCCCGCTTCAGTCGATCCTAAATATGGCAGCCAGACTCATTCACCTTTCCAACCGCTCCGTCTCCGCCACCCCCCTCTGCCAATCCCTCCACTGGCTTCCGATTGCGCAATGGATCAAATTCAAAATCCTAACACTGACGTACAAAGCTGTCCACCATACTGCCCCGAACTACATCACCGACCTAATATCCAAGTACCACCCAGCACGCACACTCCGCTCCTCACAAGACCTCCTTCTCTCTAGTTCCCGGGTCTCCTCCTCCCATGCCTGCCTCCAGGACTTCTCCAGGGTGTCACCCATCCTCTGGAACTCCCTTCCCCAACCCATCAGATTATCACCTACTCTCCTCTCCTTTAGGCGCACCCTGAAAACCCATCTCTTCAGGGAAGCCTACCCCACCCCCTGCTAACTTACCGACCTCCTCCACTCTTCCTACCACTCCATCCCCCACAGCTATCTCCTCTTGTGCCACCATCCCCTCCCTCCTAGATTGTAAGCTCGAAAGAGCAGGGCCCTCGAACCCCTCGTGTATCGCATTGTATTGTTGTTGTTCTGTCACATGTTCTGTCCCCCTTTGTAATGTACAGTGCTGAGCGAACTATTGACGCTTTATAAACACTATAATAATAACAGGTTGAGTAGATTAGATGAGGCCAGGCCCTTTCATTACAAAGGTGTGTTCAGGTACAGTCTGGTCATTAAGGATGTATATTGAGCCCCTGGGCAGTAGGGAAATGAATAGAAGGTACAAACAATGGTCATCAATTGATCTGGGATACAGACGTGTATGTATACACAATGACCAAATAGGCCTTACAGACTCAATCATCATTTAGCATTAATTAGTCTAAAGCCAGGTTCCTGGAGGTGACACATTTTATGTGGCAATCAGGTTATCACTTTCTGGGAAAACCAATTTGGAGCTAATGACAGCAGACAGACTGCCTGATGTGGAAAGCTCTATAGGTAATATTCACATCAAAGAAGTATGTTTCATCTCTCATAAAAGCCAAAATATTAGTTGCAGAGATATGAACATACTCCCTTCTTGTAGGCCATTCTGT